TTATATATATGTCATTATCAGATTTTTTCTGTTAGCTACCACAAGATCTTGTATGCATTTCCCTGTGCTGTACAGTATAATCTTGTTTACCTATTCTACATTTTGAAATATGTCTATCCCCTCCCACCCCCTGAGAATGATTCTTAACCACAGAGAATGCTTTGCCTGCAAAAAGAATTCACTGTGCTCTTGAAACTAACACTAATCACTGGGGTAAGTCATTAAACACTCTTAATCAAGAACAGAGGAAATCAGTGAGGGGAGGCCACAGGGGGCAGGAGGGGCTCACAGACAAAAAGCAGCCTCCCTTGGCAGGTGACCAGGGAGAATAAAGGCCCCACTTGTGGAACTCCTGAGCTGAGACGGACTCGTGGTGGGGACAGGGGTAGTGTGCTCCAGGACTGGAGTGTTTCATGGTGTTCCTGTTCAGTGGGTCCACAGCCCTCCCAGCCCAGATGTGCTTGCGCAGAGTACTCCCCACAGCTTGCTGGTCATGTTGCAAGATGTGGGGTGTAAAATATTTTAAGTTGGTCCCTTCCAAGCCATGAGAAAGTCACAGTCTACAAAATTACTATCAGAGCCACATCTGTGAGTCACCCAGCTACCTACATCAGACAATTTGTCTACTGGAAAATTCTGATTAATGACTTTTTTTTAAACACCAGAGTAACAACTTGATGTGACAGAAATGACCATTTTTTCATGATTTCATCATTTTTTGCTTTGGTTACCTATAATCTTCTGCAGAGAATATAAAGGAACTAGAATGAAAATGGTGTTTTTAATGTACACTAACCTCAAATCCAAATGCTGTTCCTTCCAAGGTGTGGGAAAGGGGAAAGGGTTCTGTGGTGTTAGCTTTGAGGGAGTGAAAGACTCCTTTTGGATGAGGCTCTTGGACTCCTTTAGGCCATGCTGAGATGCCTGGGGATTTTCTAATAATACAGTTAATTCACAACTGCAAGCAAGTCCTCCTGAAGTCACAGATTACCAGGCCTGCAAGTTCCAGTCAGACACACGGTCCACCAGGACCCACGGTTACTGTGAGCAAAGCCCCAGGACCCCCGGGGCTGAGGCCCCTCAGGAAAGCCCTTGTCTGAAGTTCTCCTCTGATGACAGAAAACACAGGTGTGCTTTACATTTCCGGCTCCAAAACCACCCACAGCT